CAAAAATATACAATGATTCATTTTGTTTAATTCAAACAAGAATCGTTTGAAAACAAAATAGAAGAGCGTGGACTCCAAGGCCCAAAGCTTTTCAAGGTCTTTCTAGCTCCTATAACTATCGACCTCCCCGTCAAATAAGCTATGCAGAATTACGCGTTTTTGAATTTGAAATGATAACTACGAACGAAGCTTTGAAGTTAGAATATCAACAATTCAATTTGTGCACTCTTACTGGAATCTATACTAATCTGGATGATGTCTCACGTCAAGGATTTTGTTATTTTTTTCTTAAAAAATGACAATTAGGTTGAAATTAGACCAAATGTACAGGAATCTGAACTTCTCTAGAACGTTGAAAGAGTTGGCGTATTTTCAAACTATGATAAATTACAAGTAATCATACTGATGCCTCACCATTTTATATTTATAATCATTTATAAATCTGTACATTATATGAATCCTAATTTAGTTTAAATATTAAGATACCTACATATGTCATTGAGTCTTCGTCAATGAATTATTTTTCTCATTTTCTTCTTAAACTTTCCTTTTCTTATTCCTGTATTTATTATGTTAAATATCTGCTAACACGTTCCACTTTCTCTAATCAATTGATTCTTAAGTCGATTAATGCCACTTCTCATGATAATTTTGTTGAATTGAAAATATAACAAAACTGTTTTTCATTTTTCTTCAATAAATTGTTTACAATGTATTCAAGCTGAATAATTTTTTTCCCTTATACCTTAATGACATTTGTGGCAAATAAATAGAATTTTGATAGTTTAGTCAAATAGCATCAAGTTTCTTTACTATAATTAGTCATCAAGATTAGAGTCAATCGCTTACTTTGTTTACTGTATATATGTGGTTGCAAAAATCAAACCGCAAAAGAAATTATTACAAAATATCACTGTACTGGCAATGTGTGTTGATGTTCATGCTTAAAAAAATTAAAAATACCGTTTATTTTAGAGTGAAAACTGATTACCAGTACACTATCACTAAACTAGATGAACACTAAATAATGAACTTGTTCTTCTTTTCTATAATTGATTATTTTTAAGAAAATAATATTTAATTGTTAAATATAATAAAATTATTTATTTAATTAATAAATATTATATTAAAATATGTGTGTGATAATTGTATAAAATAATTTATAAATACTAATCAGTCAAGCACGCAAAAGCTGGAAATGGAGGGTTAGGTTTGGTCAAATTTCACAGTGCAAGTCGTGTCACTGTCATGCAAGTCTACGTACGTACTTTGGGGCTTTCCCGCATGAATCAACCGCTCCTACGCTACCAAACACCAAATGCTTTCTCACTTTATTTACGTAATTCATGTGTTCTAATATGTAAAATTATAAAATCAGTTTCTTAAAATTAATAATGTAAGACTAATTTAAAATTATAGCTGAAAGTCTGTAACTTTTCATTTATTACTTTTTTGTGAGGTTATGTTGGCGGATTTTATTCTGATAAGAGAAGGAATAAAATTTAAATATAGTATTTTATACATTTTTAGCAATCTTATTTAATTAAAATTATAATTTATCTTCATAATTAGCATAATAAATATATTTCTAGTCATATATAAGAAACAGTTTTCATTTGTCTGCTTAAAGATATCCTTACTCATAAAAAAACGTTAATATTAAATAGCAATGTTAATTTTTAAAATAATATTATAAATGTCTTAATAAAAATGTAGCCCCTATGAAGGTACTTTCCCACAGTTTCTTGCGCAATAGTAGGGCTTAGCTGTAATTTATCTGAAAAACAGAAAGAAAGAAATGAATAGAAGAAGAAATGATGAGAAGGAAAAATAATAATGAGTGGTCTTTGATGGGAATAGGAATTGCTCTCTCCCCCTACACACGGTTGCTTTCGGTGCCATTATGACACCACAAACCATTATGAGTCAAATTTAACACCGGACCCCAAAGACATAATCACTGTGACAATCTAATCAGACTTGTATTAATATTTTTAATATTATATTCAAAATTTGTGAGAAAAATTATTAATCATTTTTTTATAAATTTAATATAATAATGATGCTTTTCATATTAAAAACTATTTAAATTTAATCTTAAAAGTTGAAACTGACAAAATTCATAAAATATTTTAAAGACGTTTATTTAATTTGTAAAGCTATACACATATATGTTAAAAGTAATGTTTTTTTTTATCTGTTGTAACTAAGTTTAGTTACAAGAGGTAAGTGCGCTGAATATTTAAAGCAGTGAAGAAATCCTAATAAGTTTAGTTTTCATTGTTTAGGACACTTATCTCATAAATATTTATATTATAATATATACGATTATTTTTCAAATTCATAATAAATCACATAATTATATAAATTTTTAGAAAACTATTCAAATTATGTTTATAAAATAATCTACCAATTAATAAAAGTCAAGATTAAAAAGAATTAACAATAGACATGTGAGACATAGCTTATTACTTATTAGTATCCATGATTAAAAAAAAAATAAGTGAAACCAAGACATACATAATACCACATTATCAAACAATTTTGGGGGAAAACGTTGGAATATAGGTGATACTAGAAAAAAGCATTAAGTTAATTTTGTTAGTATATACATTACAGGTCTATATTGAAAATATGATGTTACAGAAATATTTGATATATTAATAATATAAATTATTTTTTCTATTAACAGAATTGCAAATTGTACAGTGTATTATAAATATTTATATTAATAATTTAATTTTCATTAGATAAAAGTTATATTAAGAGATAATCATTTAACACAAATCTGCCAGTTGTTTATAGTGAGATGTAATTTTTTAACACAGAATACAATTAAGCAAAAATAATAATATGAAATATAATGAATGGAAAGCATAATAAAATGTCTACTAATATTCTTAACTGGTGAATGAATGGAAAAGTTATTTGCTCATTAAATGTTACAAGTTACTCCATTGGCTAACAGAGAGTTCAAATTAAAGGCAACATGTTAAACTTGTCCACAACAAGTTCCCACGTTATTGCTACACTCTCGCATGTTTGTTTTTTTTAAGTATTATTATTATTATTAAGCAATTTTAAAAAAAAATATATAATTACATTAATAATAAGACTATTTTACATAAAAATATTAAATTAATGTGATAATAAAATATATAAATGTAATAAAAGAGGTTCCATAAATTCAAAATGCTTTGTTTGAATAAATAGTGAAATAAAAATGGATGAAATAGACGAAAGGAAATAGAAAAGAATCAAAGTAGAAATAATCGAAATGAGAAAGAAAGAAATGAAAGAGATTTTTGTAATTAAAATAAGTGAAAAGAATGTAAAAACAAAAAAATAATATAATATATTTATTATAATATATTTTTAAGATAAAATTATATCTTATATTAATTTATTTATTTACAATATAAGAGAATTTTTTAATTTTTCGAAAGCTTAAAATATATAAGAATTAATAACTTAGTTGAGCATTTTCCTTACAAAAAGTGCATTTCACGGGAAGAGAGCAACGAAATTGATAAACTGAAATTCTCGTATTCCAAGATGCATTACATTGCATCCAAACTCGAGAAATCAACTGAATGAACATGTTTCAACTCATCTGCATTTCTATCCCTCTCCTTACATGCGAAACAAACTAAAGTTAAACGACAACATGTACGTTACTATTTTCTTTTATTTTACTCCTTCTATTTTATGGATAATTTAATTTAAGTAACATAGCACATAATAAAAATTAATTTATAATAACTTTTATTTAAAATTACAAAAATTAATAGAAAATAGAAAATATTATTAAATATTACAGTTTTCAATAAAAATATATTATTGCACAAATTAAACAAATTATTATTTTATATAAAACTGACAAAATGGGTCAGCTTAAACCTCTGATAAAATACAAAACTTGAATTCTAAATTTTAAATATGAATTCAATTTAAACTTTTTTTAACTCGATCTAATTAAACTCGGTATGACTTAAGTCGATAAAACTCATAAAAACTAAGTTTTATTTTATTTTATACACTATTTTTACAAGCCTGAATTATATTTGAAAATTTCGGCTCATTTTGTTAAATCACGTTTGCCATTAATCGGCTCATATGGACAGCTAGCCAATATTTGTGAGCTCTGATTTCATATATTTTTTATTTAAAAATATTTGTTCTTTAAAAATCATATTAATTACCAATTTAGTAATACTATTATTTATTAATATCTCACTCGAATATTTAAATATATCCATAATTATGTGTTAATATTTTATGATTATTTTAATGAAAATATTTTATCGTAATAATTTATATATAGTTAATAAATTTTAAGAACATATTAACTTAAAAGATAAATATTTTAAGATAGATAAAGTATTTTGAATTGAAATCGTTCAAATAGCATTTGCATGATTTACACTCTTTTGTTACTAATATGTAACCTTAAAAGAGGGTAAATTGTGATAAGAAATACGAGTCTTCAAAGGAGTAAAAGAATAGTGGGAAAGATGAATGAATAACATATATAAAAAAAGGGTATGAATATGAGTATTCTGAAAGTGTTGAAATAGTTAAATTGTGGAAGGGGTTGGTAGCTGGCTTTGCGCAGAGTGGAGAGTTGAAGAGCGGCGACCAAAGGAACCGGAAGAGGGTCCCAACAAAAGAAAAAGGGTAAAATTGGTGTTGTGGTCCCCACAGCCCCACGTTCTCCTCCTCGCTCCCCATCATACGCATTTATTTACAAATTGCATCCAACAAAACAAAAAAACCACTTTCCTGCACCGCTCCACGTGTGACCCATTACCGTCTTAACCAATAGTATTAGTAACGCACACGCACACCACCATGTCCCCCTCATTGACCAAAGACCAAAACCCAAGCAAACCAATATCTTAAATTCAAAAATTAATAGGAAGCATCTTACGTCACCTACCTTTGACTCTCTCTCTATCTATCTATGTAATATCTATCCCAATCCATCTCTAAACATAACAGACAGCCCCTTCTCTTGTCCGCACCACTTCTCATTGTCTTTTCCTTCATCAAACGCACCATGCTCAGAGACGATCTATGCATCACCGTTCCCACCTTTTTCAGGTGCCCTATCTCTCTCGATGTAATGAAATCCCCTGTCAGCCTCTGCACCGGAGTCACCTACGACCGCTCCAGCATCCAACGCTGGCTAGACAGCGGCAACAACACTTGCCCCGCCACCATGCAGCTCCTCCGCACCAAAGATTTTGTTCCTAACCGCACCCTACAAAACCTCATCCAGATCTGGTCCGATTCGCTCCTCCACCCACCCGTTTCCGAACCGCTCCCTTCTCCGGGCCAAATCATCCAAGCCGTCGCCGACTTGGACACTGAGCACCGCTTCGGTTTGCTATCGAAAATTTTTCACTTCGCTCAACATTCTCCAGAAAACAAACTCTTCCTTGCCAAAATAGAAGGTTTCGTGAACCAATTGATTCGTTTTCTCGACAATGTCGGCGCCGGAGTAACCGGTAGCGTTGAATTTCTCGAGCAAGTCGTCAAGTTGTTGGATTTGATTCTCGATAGCATCGAAGATCCCGAGGGATTCAAAAACTCTATGTTGAAGGGAAAGAACAAGCAGAGCTTAGATTCTCTGCTTCTCGTTCTGCAACGAGGAAGCTCCGATTCGAAGATTGCCTCCGCTAGGGTTCTGCAATTCATCGCCGTGGACGCCGAGTCAAAGCTTTTGATCGCCGAGAAGGAAGGTTTGGTCACCGAATTGCTACAATCGGCGAAGCCGGAGAAAGATCCGGCGTTGATCGAGAACGCTTTGGCGAGCCTGGTGGCAATTTCAGCGCCGAAACGGAACAAGTTGAAGCTGGTGAGTCTTGGAGCGGTGAAGACGTTATCGAAATTACTAACCGAGTCGAATTTAAGCGTGGCGGTGGTGGAGAAGGTGCTGAAGCTGGTGGAAACGGCCTCGTCGACGAGGGAAGGGAGGAGGGAGATATGCGAGGACGAAGCGTGCGTGGCGGCGATACTGAACAAGGTTCTGAAGGTGTCGAGCGTGGCGACAGAGCACGCGGTGACGACGCTGTGGAGTGTGTGCTATCTGTTTCGGGATCGCAATGCACAGGAAGCGGTTACGCAGGGCAACGGTTTGACCAAGATTCTGTTACTGATGCAGAGTAATTGTTCGCCTCAGGTGCGCCAAATGTGCACTGATTTGCTCAAGATTTTTCGGGTTAACTCAAAGTCATGTCTTTCTTGCTACGACACCAAGACCACGCACATCATGCCGTTTTGAAGCTATCCAAGACAGGACACGTAATTAAAAAGCTTGTAAATCAAACCAAATTTTGATAGTCCATAGACAGATGAAAAACAAATTCAAATGAAAAAAAAGGGGAAAATTCATTTGAAGCTTGTTACTAATTCGTGTGTTGAAATTTCGAATAATTGAAAAGAAAAGAATTGCTTCTCTTACAAATTTAAGCGCAAGTTAGGTTGCTAATTTTGATAAATAGAATCGGCACTATATTTGGGTGATTCTATGTAAGTACGTTTTGTGTCAATCGTGGAGAAGGGTGGATGATTCTCTTGGGGTACAAGGTAAGGAGGGTTCATGGTTTTACTGTATGTAGTGCGTGTGAGGCTTTGCAGCAATTCGCCCACCAACTTCTACCCTTCCGTATCTTTTCTTACTTTAGAAAAAGTAACATTATATGGCAACTAACGGAGTGGGCCGAATAGCTTTTCTTCGTTTGTGATAAAAAAAAAATATAAACTGAATTTGATAGCTGCAATCTGTACCCAAATCAGGAAGAAATCAAACATTATCGTTGTTTTAAATTGATCTTAATGCAATGGGTAGAGTTCTCAGAATTTCTAGGAAGTTGGATAAACTATTCGAAAAGAGCGTTGTCAATTTTGACCATTAACAAGGCTTTTTTTTATATATGAAACCTAATTCGTGCTGAAGAGAAAACAATTAAAGAACTTGCTTATTTGTGGATAGAATAATTGGGAGATTGGGGATGTGTGGGAGTATGAAGTTGGGGAGCGGGAGAGAAGAGAAGGGAAGTGACTTAATTAAGTGCACATAAAGCAAAACAATTTGTTGAGAGAGAAAGAGACAGAATGGCGCAAAGTAGTGAAATAGGGTTGCTTTGCTGACTGTAACGGGAACTTTCTCTCTCATTTAAAATTGTTTGTTGCAAGAAAGGAATGAAAAGGATGGGAATCCCATTGAAAAAGAAATGGGTTTAAAGAGTGGAGAGGGATACATTATAGGTTTGACCACTCCAATCCCTACGGCCTACAAGCAAAATGGAATGGTTTTAGGGCCCTAAACAATGCCCACCCTACATTATAAACAATTTAAATAATCTGATCGGATTTGTTAAATCTTAATAAATTAATTATCTGATCCATAATCTTCATCATATACTAGTTTGTCAAATCTGATAAATAGTTTTTTTTTTCTTTTGCTCCGTTCAGATATCTTTAACTTTAATTCTTGCCCCATTATACTATATAGATGCACGCTAGAGATGGAGACTGGCGTTCAATTTTTAAAAATTTCTAAAATTAATTTAATTGATAATTTATAAATCTATCAGTGTCAAATTAATTACATATTACATGGTTGTTACATTTTAGTTAATTATTACATAAAATTTCAAGTTGAAAAACTTAATTTGAATAATTAAAAATTATATATAAATTAAGGTCGAGAGATCAAAACAGTAATTAAATCAAAATAATTAAAAAATAACAGTCTTTCTACTTATCATAGAAGCTTTTTGTTTACTTTTGATTTATTTTAAATAAAATTTAAATTTAAAAAAATTTAATTTACACAATATATATATATATATACACACACACAAACACAATCTAAACAGTATAAAATCTTTTACCGAGACAAGAGAAAAAAATAATTGGAGAATTTATGCTTCTAATTACAAGACTTTATTTAAAGTTTGTTTTTGAACATAAAAAATATAAGAGAAAGACTTATGTAATAGTTAATCATGTTTAGAAATTTGGAAATAAAAAATAATAGTTTATAAACTTTCTACAGCTTGATAATTTTATATTTTTAAGTTTTTCATTTGAAAATTTTATATTAACTATTTTCCTTCTTACTTATTTTTCAAACACTATTTTTATTAATCCCTCCAAATTTTAAAAGAAAGCCTTAGTAATTTGGAACATAATAGACACGTAGACGTCTCTTCTTGGGCATTAGGTAATAGGCAATTTGGCCGTATTCGTATCTCAAATCATCATTATTCTTGGACATATAAAGTAACTAATAATTTCTTAGTAAGACTAATTAATGCGCAATTTGGATTTTAGTGATATTGATACTCCATTAATTATGATTAGACAAAGCCAAAACCGCACGATCAGCATCACCTCCATTAGATTGTGTTTGGAAATGAAATTTGTGATTTTTAGATGAGGAAACCCCCAATCAGAAAAGTAAACAGGAGACGGAAGTGTGATCGGACTTCCCTGCATCATCTATTTCGAAACACTCAGAATTAATTTCTTTTTAACGACATTTTTCTATATAATTTTTATTATAATAATTAATTTAATTTTTTATTAATCTCAGTTCTTAAAACTAAATTTAAGTATTCATAAATAAAAATAATTTATAAAAAAAATATAGTTATTATATTGAAGTTATAAAAATATAATAAATATTTTTTTAATAAAATTTTATTATTATTAGCTGTTTATCTGAACTCTTAAATTTTAAATTATTTTTTTTAATTTAAACATATATTTTAATCGTATTTAATATTTTAAAATTATTTTTATTTAACTTTTAAGTAAATCTTAAATGGTCACTTTGTTAACAGTAGAATAATAAAACAATCCAAAGTGTCTTATGATTTTTTTGTTCTTGTTAAAATATAGTGAGATAATTATTATTTAAATTGTGTTAAAATTAGTAAATGACTACTTTACAGGAATTTAAAAATCAATGATTGAATCATAATAATTATTAAATATATTATTTTACTAAATTTCAGACTTAATATTATTTGATCTTGACTCTTTAAAAACACCAGCAAGTGGAAAAAAATAAAGAAAAAGATAACTAAGGTTTTATGGTATGATCACTCAGGTGAAGTATTTTATTTTTTAATTGCGTTGGAAAAGGAAAAAAACAATAACTTTTTGCTCTACATGAAAAAAAAAAACAAACAATAACTTGTCCCATATATTAAACATTATCCACATAAAAATTACGTTAAACCATTTATATAAATTAAATTAATTTACCTTTATGATTTATAAAAATCTTAATAATTATGATTTTACTAATAAATGTTCTAGAGAACTCATTAAAAGTGTTAAATAAAATATCTATTATCCTTAAAAAAAATTAAAAAGTAAATAACTAAACTTTTTAATAACATGTTCGAAAAATTAAAATTGATACTTTAAAAACACTAGTTAAAAAAATTATGAATAATTATTATATAAAAAAATTGCCAAACTATAATTTTATTTAGCAATGCAAGAGATAAATTTTTTTCATAAACTAATCCAATTCAACTATTAAAACCAAATATTAAAAAAAGAATGGCTATGTTTTAGATATTTTTATTCTCTATAATTTCAAAGCTTGATCAAATTATTTATAACATTTATTTAATTCAAAATTTACTAGCAACGAGTAAGGTATTTACTCAGCTAAACAAGTACGTGTATAGACATAAAAAAAATACTCATAAAATTTAATGAGAATAGATGTAGGTATAGATTCTTAAGTATACATAACACACTTCTTTTTTACTACATACACATTAATTCAATTCAACGTGTCTATTAGTTTAATTAAATAACTTAATTATTAATTTTTGTTATTATGTATTTGTGTTTCTAGGACCAAAATAATATATAAACTTAAAATATAAGTATTTTTAGTCATTTGTAGACTTTAATTTTAATGAAGAGATAAAGTAGTTTAATTATTTTTATTATTGTAACTTTATAATAAATAATTAACTATTTTTTACTAGTCTTGAAGAGTGCTAATTTTTAAGTTTTTGAATTGGTTATTTTAGAAGATCTTAAATATTACGTATATTTCATTCTACTTATATTTTTTAAATATTTTAGTTTAGAAAGATACACTTACCATTTATGATATTTAAATATCTATTTTTATCTATACTTAGATTTTGTTAAGTAATTATGTATTATTATTTTTATAAGCATATTTTTGTTTATAAATATTTTTTATTTAAATAAGATAGGTATGTATGTAGGTGTATGGATATTTAAAGAGTATAATTATTATTTTTTTAAATGCAGTATGAGGATATATATATATATATATATATATATATATATATATATATATCAATTTCAAAATCTTATTTTGATTTATAATTTAATTCTAATAATTTGTTTGGTTTAAATATTTGGAGGGAGAGGAATTATTCCTCTCCTCTATTTTTAACTTCCACTGTGAGGGCTTTCAAAGAAGAAAAAAAATAGCATATATTTATACTACTATCCTTACCTTGAATATTGGAGTTTAATAATTTTTTTATTTGTCGTATACTAATATATTACTTTATTTGTTTCTCTTTTTTTCTTATATATCGAATAAGGTGTCTATGGGTTTCTCTTTTCTTTTTCTAACTTGAATCAGATGGTAAGAGTCATATATTTTGATGAATACAACTATTAATACTATTTCTAATGCATTTTGAACTAGTTTTTATCATATATATATATTTTATCTAATTTACAATTTTATCTATTAAACTAATCAATAAACCAAACAGTACATAAGAGCTGTGCGTTTTGATGAACGTGACTATATGATTTATGGAACGATATTTTTATATTTTGTGTTTTTTACAATTCTTAATGTATATTTCATGTATGATTTTATATGTATTATTAATTAAAAAATTGCAGATTCTAATAGTTTCAATTTAAATTACATTTAATGAATTTAAAATTTAGAACCAAACAGTTAGACGAAGAAAGAAAAATGGTTTCAGCGTTGGAATGATAATAATTTTGTAATTTGATATTTGGAGATGCAGGAGTGAAATGATAAGCTACTGAGACCTAAAAACGAAGAACTTGTTAGAGTGCTAGAAATGATAGGAATGGTGTTCATTAGGTGGCGTGTGAGATAGAAAAAGAAAATATAAATATGATAATTGTACGTGCAAGCATTAGCTAAGCTTCCACTGCATGCCTACCTCCTAATTACCATAATCTCTTCTTTTCACTTCCGTGTTTGATTCTCAAAAATCAATGCCATATACCAAACCCACATCATCTGTGCTATCAACTACAGATCATTACGCTCGTGCCACTGGTTTCCACACCATCATTCCACAACCCATGCCTCAACACCAATAATTCATACCCATGCTTATTTTTTACTGTAAACTGAACCCTACTTTTTCATTTTATCTTTTTATTTTTTTATTATTTACAAACTTTTAAAAGCATGTTTACTCGTTACAAATTCTTCTATATGAACTTGGAATGC